AGAGAAAGAATAGCAGAATTGTTTGTACTCAAACTGCACTTCCCTACTGATAAACTATCATGCATTTACAGTAACACCTTTTTGATTACTTTGGGGCATTTTTAATTATAAGAAAAAAAATAGGCTTGATTAGATTCAGAGCTTGATTAGGCAAGTCACTTTAAATAAATGCATTTGCTAGATTACGATTGCTACTCCTTTACGACAACTACTGGAGGTCAAGAACTAACAAAGAGTAACTTGTATGCACAAAGGAAGTGTAATTTGCATAAAATGAACATTTACTGTACCCCACTGATGATCTATACTGAAACTCCACTGACTTGATTTCACCCAATGAGTCTCAGCAGTTTGGGATATCTAAAGATGTCCCATTGTTAACTTTCACTTGAAATGTCGAGTCAGTCTCTGAAGTAATCAGAAATGCATGATGAGCGCATTTCAAGATGTCACTGCGCTTTTTAACAGAAATAACATGCATGATGCTCACAATGAATCATAACAGATGGATATTGGAAAGGGTGAGTAATACAGTGACGCTGTTAATAACTAACGTTTTATTGCACAACCACCTACACTTTCGTTTAAAAGATTTGTAAATATTTTTCAAACACTCTTGGCCAACAAGGCTGCATTTATTTGATAAAAAATACACTAAAATCAGTAATAATGTGAAATATTACTGCAATTTGAAATAATTGTTTTCTACTCAAATATTTTTTTTAATGTAATGGCAAAGCTGAATTTTCAGCATCATTACTCCAGTCTTCAGTGTCACATGATCCTTCAGAAATCATTCTAATGTGCTGATTTGGTGCTCAATAAACATTTCTTATTATTATCAACATTAAAATCATGTGCTGCTTATATTTTTGTGGAAACTGATACTTTTTTTTGCTAGATTCTTGAACAGAAAGTTCAAAAGTACATCAAATGAGCATTAATATGAAATTTAAATATTTAGTAACACTGTAAAGTTGCACCATTTAAACATCCTATCATAACGTCCAATTATAAGTTAAGCACATTTTTAAAAGAACTTAATTACTGCTAGTACTTACACTCCTTATAACTAACTTCTACCCATTGCTTTGGTTCCACTGACATTTTACAAATATAGAGAAAACAAGCATTATCCCTCATTCTTTTCCCCCAGATACTGTATGATCATTACCAGTATTGTTCTTGTCACAGCTTGATGTAACATGAAGTTTCCTTAAGGCAAATCACCACTGACGCAAACATTACGCACAACCATCTTCAGATGTGCTTTAACTGCAGTGCACAAGACATGCCATGAACATTTTATACCTAATATACAAGCCCTAGATCTTCAATGTCAGCTGTATTGTTCAAGCAAACATACTGTCTTGAAAGGAACAGTTCACACAGAAATGGATTTACTCACCCTCATGATGTTCTAAACCTGTATGATGTTATTTTTCAATGAAGCACAAAAGAAGAAACTCTCAAAAATGTTCATGCTACTCTCCTGCCTACAACACAGGCTGTCCGAGATCCAACAAAACCAAAAAACACCAAAAATAAAATAGTCCAAATGGCCCTTTTAACGGCAAAAGCCATTGGTTCTCGCATGTCAAATGACTTCATTGCACCAGCTCGATTAAGCTGAATCAACAACTGTATTCTACAATGAAGATGAATTTCAGTGACTATTGACACAAAGCTATTTTATTGTTTTAAAGGACATGGAATACTGTTTAAAAGTTTGGGGTTGGTAAGCGTTTTTTATTATTATTTTTTTATGTTTTTGAAATAATTCTCTCATGCTTATCAAGTCTGCATTTATTTGACCAAAAATACAGTAAAAACAGTTATTGTGAAATAT